TCCCCAACCTTCATATACACATATAGAGAGGGCGAATAATAATGTGGTATATGGCCAGCTGTGTCAAGGTTACATCTCTCAATATATTCTCAGCTGGATTGATGGATTGATGAATCTGGTACACCATCGTGCGACGGGGCTCACGGGATTCAAGCTATCAAGACATAGATTTCATATAGAGAGGTAACATTAATGCAATCGGGGATAAAGAAACCCCCCAAAAGCAAATTCCCATAAGGCGATATGGGAAATTCTCCGATTTACCATAGCACAAATCATTACCTGCCCTGCCCTGGGGGAAGAGGGAAAAAGTAATTGATAAGACATTGATACTCGTATAACGTAGTTTAACACCGAATAGGCCATATCACCGAGTGGGCCACTTTCACCTCAATTTACACTCTTTATATTCAACATACATTTTATCAATTATTTATTATAAAATCTACAAATAAAAAAGCACATTTACTTTTAATTATTAAAGCTTTTCAAAAAGACAAAAAACTAAGTATTCGATAAATTACTCAACTATATAATATACCTTATATAACAATTAGCTATAAAATAAACAACTTACTTCTATGTATAAAGATTTAAGCGAATTATTATAAAATTATAAAATTGAAAAAGAAAATAATTATTCAATATATTCTTAATATAAATTCGAAAGGTTTTCTACTTGAATTTAAGAATATAAAAGATATAACAAATCATATTCTCGAATTAAAGAATGTAAAACATATTAAGAAGCTTTAAATGTATTGATTTATAAAGTATCGAATCGAATTAAAGATATATTTTAGTTGTGTTTATAATTTTTAAAAAGTTTTTTGTAAGAATCCTAAGCTTTTTGAAAAATGATTTCGATTAGTTGTGAATATATAAGCGAAATATAGTATTTTGAACAGAGATTTCTATAATTTTAATAAAACAGGCTTTATAATGGGGATTATATATGTAGCTGTCGGAACATATGATCACATGCTTAAGCGAATCACATGATTCTTCTCAGTATATATATATTGGGAAGAATTATACCTTATTTTAGATTATTTTAATTTATATTATTCATTTTATATAGGCTATATGATGCTGTATATGGTGATTTGAGTTGACGATTCCTTCTCCTCCAAGTAATCTCAATATTAATTAGTGTTTATCTTTTTATTAAAGGTATTTATAAATTAAATCACTTTTTAAGATTTTATATAAAGATATTTATACGAAAATAAAGAGAGTGGTTTAGACTATTTGATAAGATATTTTTTGAAAAGATGAATAAGATTGTATTAGATTATATTTATATATAATTTGTATAAAGAACTAGAATATTATATTCTTTATATTATCTTCTTTGATTAATATACTAAGAAGGGGTTTCTAATTATAATTGATTTCTTCAGGATTAAACAGATTGATTGATTCATAAACTAGACTATTACATTTATAAAATTTAATAAATCGATAGTTCAATTCGCATTCATTATATTCTACTTAAAGCTCAATATACTTTTCGAATTCGAAATCTCCTCCTCCTTTATATAAAAAGAATCATTCTACTACCCCCCTCTTTGTTACGACGGCATCCAACATACCGCGTCACATGACATAAATTACACGTGATGGAGTGTCAAGGAGCTTCAGCGCTCCTGGAGCGCGTTGCGATCCTTAACGATCCAATATATCGAAAAGGTTCTAGGAATTAGGATAGAGAATGAAGGTTTATATAAAAAAATAGGTTTTATTATAATATAGAGCTTCGTACTTAAGAACAATCATTAGTTTTATTATTATAATTATAAGAATTGTAATTAATTACAACCTTATTGAATTCCTACTTGAAGTCTAGACTAAACCATCTCAAGAGAACTCTAGACACTTCCACATAACCCTAGAGGCAGCTTCCGTAACACTCTTATTAAAAACCTTTTATTAGACCTTTTTTCTCCACCTTATAATACAAAACGCCCTTCTTTATACAACTATTAAGTTAAAGAAAAAGACCTGCTTATTATCTCTAATAAACCTAATCCACTCAAGTTAAAAAAACAAAGGAAAAAGGTTATAAAGTTGAAGAGCCTATTACAATATAAACAATTATTTAACGAAATAGCTTCAAGAAATTCTATATAAATTCGATCTCCATTTATATTCTTAAAAGATACACTGAATTGAAGCCTTATAAGCTTCAAGCCACCATTCCCTCATTAAGAAGATTCAATTTCTTATATTTCAAGTTTTATAAAGAAGTAAAAGAATGACTCACTTCTATTTATCCTCACATAATAATTGAACCCCCCACTCTCAATTCTTTCAAATTCAACTGAATACAAATACCCCACTCAATCGAATCGATTCAACATTCCCCCCTTGTTACGACGACATCTAACATACCGAGTCACCTGATCAGAAAGTCACGGGATTAGAGATTCCCACTGGATCCCACTGCTCCCACCTGGTGGGACACGATGGGATCAATGGGACAACAAAGAACGAAGGTCTATATAAAAGAATGGGTTTCATTACAATGTAGAGCTTCGTGCTCAAGAACAATCATTAGTTTCATTACTATAGTTACGAGAATTGCAACCAGTTACAACCTTATTGAATTCCTACTTGAAGTCTAGTCTAAACCACCTCGAGAGAACTCTAGACACTTCCACGTGACCCTAGAGGCAGCTCCCGTAACACCCCTTCGATCGCTCTACCCTAGCGAATAAGGCTTTTTCCCACTTATATGCAACTTTCAATTCAATTCATTCTTTCCTTGCCTTTTTTAACTTGATTATAAAATAAAGGAGATAAGAAGAAGGAATGATCTTTAATCAAATTGGTTTTAGATTTTAAGAGATTTAATTAATACAATTCGCTTTTTATATTATATGTTCTAGGTTTTCATTATAAATAGAAATTCTATTTATATTAGAACATATAATCACATACTTAAGCAAATCATATAATTCTTCCTACTATATATATATTAGGAAGAATTATACCTTATTCTAGATCATCTCAATTTATATTATTCATTTTATATAGGCTATACAGTGCTGTATATAGTGATTTGAGTTGACAACTCCTCCCCCCTCAAGTGATCTCAACAGTAGCAATAATAATAATTAATACTGAACGAAATAGCAGAAATAAGATAGTACAATTAAACAATTGAGAATGAGCTATAACAATAATATACAAAAATAAAAAGAATAAAACTATTCCCTCATTTCTAATAATTTAAGAACAGATTTATCTCTCTAATTAATATATTAAAACCAATCTTTTTATAGATTAGACTATTAAACCTATATTTAATAGATGAACAAATAATAAGACAGATTTAAAATAATTAAAACATTTTAATAAGTATATTAAGAATTGAAGAAAGAGTAAATATCGAATGTTAATATTAAATAAATATAAAAACTATAAATCAATAACTTTTCAAGTATACTATAAAAAGAATGATATTATATATTTACATTTACTATTATATTCAAATCATTTAATTTAATTACTTAATATTGATTGTTTTAGCAATCTAAAACGTTTATATAGTAGTCAAATTAATGAATTTATTAAGATATATATTAATTATATTTCGAAGATTGAATTCTTTATAGCTTTTAAAGCTACATACAAGGAATCAATTATTTCTTAAAATATAAAATCAGAATTTCGAAGAATAAATTTAATCCTATTTAATCCTAAAGCTATACTCTCGAAATTAGATATTCGAATTTATACATCTACCCCCCCCTCTTTCAATCTAAATTAATGAATCTCTTAAACCCTTTACAATTCAATTGAAATTCTTTCTCAATCAATATTAATTAAATCTCGAATAACTTATTATCAATCAAGCTCCCCTACATTTATATTCGAAACTATATTAATTTTAATTAAAGATACAGAAAGATTAACTTATAAAAACACACTTTTAAATATAAAAAATTATATACTTTGAATAGTAAATAAAACATTAAGCAAATATTAATATATAAAGAAAACCTAATTATATTAAAAAGGAATACTTATTAAATAAAAAACTCTTAATATATTATTTCAATAAGAAATTAATATTTAGATTTAATATAATAAATATTAAAAAGAAGGAAATTCTAATAGAAAAGTATTTTTTAATTAATATTGTAGTAAATATGGAAAGATAGGTTATAATATAAGAATCTATCAAAATAATATAATAGATTTTAGATTATTAGATTTTTAATAATTTAAATTAATTAATTCAATAGTTATTGAATAATCTGTATTTGAAGGTATAAATTAAGATGAAAGTGGCCCACTTAGTGATATAGCCTACTCAGTGTTAAACTACGTTATAACATCTTTTTTAACTCTTTCATATTGTCTAGACTCTAGAGAAGCATACTACACTAGCAAACAATTTTTCTTCATCTACACCGGCGCTATGAATAAAATATACGACGCTACCTATAATACGATGTTTACTTTTTGCAGAAGAAAGTTTGTTTCTTGTTAAGACCAACGGAATTCAATTACTGTACTGCAATGTTTTTAATAAAAATCGTTCAGTACCTAGGTAGGTAGGTAGGTAGGTAGGACTTACTTTCCCTTCCTGTCCTACCATCAAAGCGCCATCCTCCCTGCCTCGCTCCCCCATTCTCCCATACCCATTCCCATCCCCTTTCCCATCCCCTTTCTCTTTCTCTTTCCTTTTGCCGCGCAAGGCAGTCAGACCTACTTGAGTCATTGTGACTTCTTGCCGTATTGAGTAAGAACAACGTAGGCAGGCAAGCAGGTAGCCTCAAAATAGGTAATGAATGATTAAAAGGCTCAAGTGACGAGGTCAGACCATCGATTTTCTTATCCACATCCACCTCCGTTCTCTGATACATTCTCTATTGATATCAACCTCCTATACCTATTTTATTCTTACTCCCTACTATCCCATCCTCCCTGCGTGTCATATTTCTGACATTCTTCTTGTTTTGCTATTCGCGCTATGAGAAATCGCACCTATGGCTGAATCTAATATTGTCAACTCTAACCCTTTGCTTGAAGCTCCCCCACCAGATCAGCATTCCTTATCTGAACAAAGTGAGAAAAAAGCACTCTATCGTCCACCTTGGTATATCACAGCTAACAGCTTTTAGTCAATATTGCCACAAGAGCCGTCCATTCTCAGCTCAACAAATTAATTCTCCTTCGTTTGCCCCTCGCTCTCCCTCCATACACTACGAACCCGTCCATCTATGTCTCGGGCATCCTTCACATTGCGCCAATCTACATTACTTTCGAATCACTATGGCAAACCATTATAGATGCTCCCTGCCTTCCACTATCTCTCAACGATGAACAAACAAAATCTGACGGTCCCAGCAGTAGATCGGACTCTTTGGACTCTCAGGCTTCGAAAGTCTGCTCAAGAACTCAGTCTCTTCTTTCACACCTCCTTCTTCCTGGTCTCTTGCGATCCGGTCGCCTTCAAGCCGATATCCGCACTTTGACTGGAACCCCCGATCATAAGATTGAAGAGCAATTGAAGGCAGTCTCAAATGATGGGCGGCTAGCAGAGTTTATTACACACACAAAGAATTCTGTCCAAACAAACCCACATGTGTTGTTAGCATATGCGTGGGTATTATATATGGCCTTGTTCTCGGGCGGTCGTTATCTTCGAGCTTCCCTCAAATCGGCGGGTGGCTTGGAAGACTTTTGGGAAAGAGACTCCTCTCCCGTGCGCCCCTACGGGGTTACAAGACCTTCTGGGCCCGCCCAGTCTTCTAGTAAAGTGCATTCCGAACAAGGATTACGTCCTTCTGCGCGTCGGCTTTCACGTTCTGAGTGTAGTCGGATGATGAAGAAACAAGGCCTCCAGTTCTTCGATTTTGCTGGGGATGAGGATGGCGAAGATATTAAACGCGAATTTAAGGGGCGAATAGCAGAAGCCGAAGTGCTCTTAACAGATGGCGAAAAGGCCGACATTATCAAGGAAGCGCAAGCAATATTCTCATTCATGGTTATGATGGTTTCTGAACTAGATTCAATATGTGGAACTACGGAAGAACAATTGGAGGCAGTGAAATCTTCAGGCTCCACAAGATTACATCGGGAACACAAACCTCTAAACATGGCGCGGGGCAGTATTGATCTCACGCAGGAACGCCTTTCAAAAATGAGAGAAGACAAGAGTTCTACTGAAGAAGAACGATTGGAGAGAAAACCAAGTCTCTATGCCTCATTCGTTGAAGCTCCCATGGCTAAATTGGTGAGATTTAAAGATGACTTCCCGGGTACAGGGAGACCTCTGGCAAGAAAGCATTCCATAATCTCTCCCCCCACACAGGGTGGAACCTCAGATGAAGAAAATGGTATAACTTCGGGGACAAGTCTATATGTTGGACTCCTAGCATTTGGAGGACCGTTAGTAGCGTTGACAGCAGCATTTGCAGCTTGGTATTATGTTGTGTAATAGATTCTCTGTTTGGATAGAAATTGCACTTGGGAGGCGTTTACGACGTTACGAAAGAGGTAAGAGCTTTCGCGGGTGCATTTTGCTCAGAGCCGTAAGTCGATTGAGGATATAATGGCTATGGTCATAATTAAATGGCTCTTTTTTCTCTGTACATAGGTAGTTGGTACACTCTTCTAGGATAGCTACAATTTGATACCCCTATTGCTCGTTTTCACCACTCGTTCTATTCACACATCACTTTATTTGCATGCATACCCGAGTTCTAACGGAACGATTGCATCTATTTTCTAATTAAGCTATGCTGTACTTTCCGTTTTCGCTTCGTCTTGTAAACTGACACTTCGCACGAAATTACATAAAGGCCAAAAGCTTCCCCCGAAATCCATGTCGTACCTACGATGAAATTGTTAGCCAAATCTCTCTTTACATTAGCTGGTATGAAATATCGATCGCTATCTATTTCTAATAGCGTTGACCTCATCAAGTTTGCCAGCGTGACATGCTAATATCCCGTGGGCTAACTTCGCAATTGCTCTTCCACCTAGAAAATTCCCAGAATGAAAGGACAAACTACGTCAAAATAAAATCATACATACCAGTAGTTAGCAGCAACACAAATACCATCCTCTCCACAACTTTGTCCTACTTTGTGATACCACAATGCTGGCAAGTATAGCATATCTCCCTTCTCCAAAGTCACATGCATTGGCTGAGCTAGGTGCGAGTATTTGGTATGGTTCCTGGATGGTACATCTGGATCCCAGGTTGCGATGGGCAACTTTACTGAAGGCGAATCTGGTTTGAATGTGAGGGTGGCGGGGTCGGACGTAGAGCGGACGTAGGAGGTAGATGGAAGAGGCACTTCATTGATGCAGGGGTGGAAGAGGGGGGGGAGCAGAGTAAAATGTTTTTGTCCGAGAATCTGGACGTAGATGTTTTGGTAAGGGTCTTTGTGGAGAGCGGTGATGGAATGCGAATTTCCTATCCACTAAATTTGCCTGTAAGATATGGTTCTAGGAAGAAGGGGGCAGGTGGCTCTCACGAGATTGATGGCATCGGGATCTTGTTGGAGTGCTATCCTGGCGAAGGATATGTCCTGTTCGACATCATAGAACAATGAAGAATATTCCTTGCGAAGGTTATCATTCTCTGTTTCATATTAGACCAATGAATAGTAGCTGTATGCTGAATAGGGTTTCTTACGTGTTTGAGCATACCTCACTTCTTGCTCGTTTCTCTCGTGCAATTCTTGCTGCGAGACAAAGTCAACGAATTCCGCAAAAGGTTGCGGTTCTTCCCAAGGCTTCACAAAAACCAAATCCCCGTCATCGTTGAGGGTAGGAGAGTCGGCATTTCCATGGGGGGTCACTGCGACGTTCACTTCGTGTGACGAGAGTGTGGATCTGAGATAAGATAGTGACCAAGTAGATGTTGCTTTCCACTGGAGCCATACGCGTTAACATGTGAAACGCGCATGCGTTAAGATAGACGGAGGAAGTGTAGCATGGGGCAAAAAAGAAAACAGAGGGGTTGCTTACATCCGAAGCGAAGCCTCGTACTATGAATGGCCGGTTCAAGGCAACGAAGCGCATAAATTCGAGGGCGGAAGGTGCGTCTTCCAAAATAGTTATTGTGGATGAGTTGAGCTCGTTGTACGTAGTCAACAAGTCCGCTATTGGATCTGATGAAAGGGCGTCCATCTTCGAATTTTATGATGATATTGTTAGTTTTTAGAAGAGCAAAAGGATGATGTTGCCAAATTTGGTCTCGTGGGTTTGAGGAGTGAAAGATTTTGATGTGGAGAAAATATGTGCTGGACGCAATGCCAGTAAAGCATCATTTCAGTAAATCTCATATCATCGCCACTAACTTCAAAGTTTTTACTCTGACATGATACTTCCGGGTCGATTTGTGTGAACGCATTAGAAATTTTTGTAGGCCAGGAGATGAGCAGCGAAGGACTCCGTGGCATCGGGAGCAGATGAGGATCATAAAGGCATTCATAATTGGTAAAAGTTGATCTACCTAAACACTCCTATGAATAATAAACTTTACCATTAAAACCTGATGTGCTACATAAAATATACTGATCGCCTAATGCGTCGTGACTTGAGTTATAATGACTCTTGGGGTATACCTGTTACGCCGAACAAACAATGCTCCTCATGCTCCTCGTAATTGATTCGTAGGCACGAACCTTTCACAAATTTGAGACCACGCCGAAGGAAACAGTCTCGTCGCTCCGGACAACACCGATTCATGGCCAATATCCTACTCGTCTTCATCGTCATAATTCTCCTCTACATCTGCCCATCCACAACCCCACCGTCTTCCTCCAGTCTCCCCACCCATTCTCAAATCTCTAGCATCTCTCCCCTCTCTCCAACATCTAACATTCCAGTCATCGTCTGCACAAATGAGTTCGCCATTGCTTGTCCAGCTCAGCGAGCTCACTTCTCTTGCATGCCCTCTTATCAGCGCTGTTCCGTGGGTGTAGATAGGTACTGGATCTTCTGCTACAGTGACTTTCTTACTTTCCCAAAGAGCTGAATGAAGTCTTCCAGATCGTGACAAGGACGTGGAGCTTAGAGTTCGAGACTGTTGAGCGACGCCTTCAAGTGGAATAGAGCTGTTAGCCTTTGTGCGGAGGTAGCGTTCATCGGTGGGAAATAGGATTGGAGTCCCATCATTGCTACCCACAGCTAGAAGCTCGGAATTGCCATTAACGGGTTTGCGAACCGCAGACTTGATATAAAAGTTAGCAACGTGGAAAGAGGGGTGTCGCAATCCATAGAGCGGGCCTAAGCCTTCTTGAGCTGCCCGTTGAGCTGTTCTTTTTCCATTGCCACTTTCGAACTCAGGTGCATGTCCGAGAATAAGATGCGAGGTTGAATATGCGTAGACAACATTGTCCTTACAAACGCTGTAAAACCTGCTTCCGTCATGACTCATACTGAGAGAGGTAATTCCAAAAGGACGATTGCCGACATGGCTAGGGATTTGTTTCGTGTATGCAACCGGTTGGCTACTTTTCCGCTTGTTGGAACAATTGCGGATATCCCAGAGCTTGACAATAGAGTTTGATTCTGATCCCGTGAGCAGCAAGTGCTCTTGACCTGGTGGTAGGAAATGAATACTCGTGACGGATATATCACCGATACGTTGTTTTTTAGCAGCAGAAAGAGAGCGCGAATTTGTGGTGGGTTTCGGTTCATGTGAATGCGAACCGTGATGAGCATCCAATATGCCGTTGACATTGCCACAACGTGGGATACTCTCACCTGGTAGCTTCTGCATCTCCATGATCGGGCCGTCATCACCCTTGCACCTTAGGTCCCAGATCTGAACACTACCATCTCTACCCGAAGTGGCAAGCACATTTTTGTTATTCGCTCCCGGTTGAAATCTGACTTGTTTCAGTGTTGCACTATGGTTCGCAAGGATAGAAATTGGCTTTTGTGTGGTCATGTCAGAAACCTTGGCGGAAAGATCTCCGGATGCCGTTGCTATTAAAGAATCATCGTCGGAAAGTGAGAGATCGATGATGGCGTTCTTATGAATCTGCCAGCCAAGGTATACGCTGCTGAACGAAGGCCGTCCATTCTTCTCAGACTCCACTAATCTAATGCGTCCTTCATCGTCACCAATGGCTACTAGAGAATTCGTATTCAGACCGGCGTTGCAAAATGGTATGCTGTCCCTGCCACCCAAGAGACTCGAAGTATGGCTCACATCTTCCGGTCTACTGTAAAACGATGCAGTCTCATCTCGCCAGTCATTAACAGCGTATGCTAGATTTGCTCGTCTCGATCTGAAAGTGCCCAAGCTCAATTGCAATAGCCTTGCACTCAAACCACGATTCTCGAAGGGAACAATGCGCTCCAACGGTTCTCTTGAGATAGGTTCCATGATATCTTTCTCCTCCTCTCCCTGTTCCTCCACATCTTCAAGAATAGATTGTGATTTTGGATATGAAGAGGTAATTTTCAATGACCCACGATGCGATTGTCCGTATCGAGATTGATCTTTGAATGAGCAATCAATGTCTGAACCTATATCCGCACCGACATCACAATGATTCGTCTTTCTTCTCTTGTATTCTCTGGGAATTGAAACTAGTTCCTCGTTTCCCTGGCCTGGAAGGTCCTCCATGTTGTCGAAAGGTTTCAGGGGGCTGGATTGTGTTTCCTGACGGTTGTTGACTAATGCCTTCAGGGCTCGGCCGGAAGGTGAAGACGTTGACGTTGTGGCAGCCTTATTGTCGAAGAATTTCCTAAATCTTCTCGGTGTAATTGATGTTTGTCGCCGTTCCTTTTTTGGTGTTCCCACTCTGATCGAAGGGGGGAGCTTTGGAAGCTGAGGAGAACCCATGGTCATGTCCGGAGGAGAGGATGGCAGATCCATCGAATGGGATGAAGGTGAGAGAGACATAATTACAAGTTCGAAAGAAGTCATGGTTTAAGGTTTACAAGTGATTGTCAAGAAATACGCAACCGCAAAGGCAAATGTATGCGCATATACATATCGAGTTGTCAGGTATCTTATGAAGTAGAAGTATAAAATGGTAAAAGCGAAATAGCCACGGAAGAGACGCGAGAAGCATCTATTGGACGTGTGCCACTTTAAACTTAATCCCTGCTTCGCGTTTTATGGATCATGTTACCAAAAGTACGATTTTCTCTTCCTCTTATCACAGGGTCACATGAAGATAAGCGTTCCTCGGATTTTTTTTTTTTTTGATTTCTTCATTGCTGGGAGATTGAGAGAGTGGAACTTACTCTCCTCACATCTCTCAAGTAATTATCTTCGTCACAACCCGACATCATGGGTATCCAGAAGAAGCATGGTAAAGGTCGTCTCGATAAATGGTACAAGCTTGCCAAGGAGAAGGGATACAGAGCCAGAGCTGCTTTCAAATTGATTCAATTGAATAAAAAATATGGCTTTTTGGAGAAGAGTAAAGTTTTGTTGGATCTTTGCGCTGCTCCCGGAGTGAG